ATGTGTGAAAGAGGAAGGACAATAGCATCTACCTCAGAGGACCTGGGGGGAGAATTCAGTGAGCACATGTAAGGTACTTAGAACAGTATCCAGCACACAGTAGACAATAATTGTCAGTCAATATCATCTTAGGTTAGATAATAAAACTTACCTGCAGATAAAATCTGCTACTAAAATTTATAATCTATTTTAAAGAACACATGAGATTATTTCAGATAAATCAGAAGTAAAACAAACATTAATACTTTTAGGCTTACGCCCCAGCCCCTAGTGGCACTCCAGAACACCAAAACCATACCTGGAGGTGAAGCACTCCTGTACCACTGACCTTGGAGAAGGCTCACAGGTTAGCTCATCACACTAAAAATATTCTACATCCACATGCAGGTGGTTTCAGTGGCCTCACTGTTACTGGCCTGGAGTAGAGCCTCAATAATCACCATTTGTTAGAATAAATGAATAAACTGCTCCACTTATTATACTAGGCAATCTTGGTACCAGAGAGCTTCAAGTTTAGAATTTTCCTTGCTAAAATGTACAGGTAAAGATGTCTCTGTGTGTCCTCCCACTACAGCAATTATTAGGATCTCTGGGCGGATGCTCTGCTGCCTTGTTCTTTATATGACCTAACCTAATTAATTTCAAAATGAAAGGAAACACAATATGTTACGGTACTTGTGCCAATTAAGTAACTGTTAACTGAACAGTATGCACCTCATGGAGGCTCCAACCTAAAGGGTTGTATTTTTCTTAATTCCCTGACCTCAGCAGCACTAAGAAATCTCCTTTCCTAGCTGGAGTAGATTCCTGAAAAATACCTGGAACAGATCCCAGAATTTTCAGGTCACTTTCAGCTATTAAAAATCCATCCAGTTTAAAATACCAATCAAAGGCCCGAGGCAGGGTCTTCCCCAGGGATCCCTTGGCTTTGGGGTCCCGGGAAATGGGAAGAGGGCCTCACAAAGCCAAAGTGAGATTGCAGGCCTGTCCAGGTCTCTGTCTCTGCTGTTGACATCCTCCACTTTTTTTTCTTCGCCTGCTCTCTAGGTCTAGGAACAGCAATAAACTCATGCCTAAAACATTTCCTGCTTCTCGCGCAGAAGACATTTCTTACAAGCAACAGCCCCTGTCTTTGGGTGGTCTCCTCATTCCCTCCTTCTCCCGGGCCAGCCCACAGGAATGGAGTTGGGGAAGGGTGAGTGGTTAGTTCTTGGGTTTCCTCGCCCTTCCTTCATAAGGCCTAAAGCCTCTCGTTTAGAAGACAGGAGGAGGTTGGTGGAGGTAAACCTAACTGCCTGTGGTTCTTTCTTTCTTTTCCTATCTGTCCTTGCTAATTCTACATCAGGCGGAATGACCTTGTCAGGGGATGCCAAGAGGCGGGATGATAGACAAAATACTTAACAGGCAGGGAGGCCAACTGATCGGAACGGATGTGGTCTCAGGGCCGGAACAGGGCCCTGGAGGCCCCTTGCTGTGCTCTCCAGTTGCTGGAAGGATCAGGGGGGCCCAGGGATGCTGGCAGAGTTGCTGCAAGCGTCCTCAGGGGGTTTGGGTCACAGCCTTTTTACTAACAAGAGGAAGTATTTTGGTATTTCAGTATCAGGACAGCTGTACTGGTGCAAACCAGCTGAACTTCACTCCTGCTTGTGGGAGCTCGTCAGTGTCCTGAGCAAAGTCGTCTCTGCCACACACTTCCTGATGTGAGAGACTGCCCGCGGCCTGCCTGCTGCTGCCCCCTCCTCATGACTGTTCCTTGGCTTCTTGCCTGATCAAGCTGAACGACTTCCTATTTGTCCAATTGACCCCTGGGAAACTCACACATCCTCATAGCCCCAAATAGAGATAGCAGCCAGCTATTGCAAGTCTCTCCCTGCTGCCCATTTCCTCCAGTTCTCTTTTGCCTGGTCAGACAGGCGAAAGGCAGAGCAACAACCTATGTCTTAAACACTTCTTGCTTCTCACTGAAGAATGAGAAGAGACTTCTTGCAGGTACCACTCCTAGTCTTTTTTTTTTTTTTCAGTGAGGAAGATTGTCCCTGAGCTAACACCTGCACCAATCTTCCTCTACGTTGTATATGGGACACCACCACAGCACGGCTGATGAGCAGTGTGTAGGTCCGCACCCAGGATCTGAACCTGCGAATCCCAGGCCACTGCAGTGGAAACATACAAACCCAACCACTACACCACTGGGCCAGCCCCTCACCCCCAGTCTTTAAGAGGGGTTCCCTTAGAGTTATCTTCACTTTGCTTGATGGCGGCAGGGGTGAGAATGGAAAGCACTTCCTCTCCTTCCTCCTCAGGACAGCGTGAAAGGCCAAAATACTCCAGATGGCGGGAGAGCCTGTGATGCCCCACACCCACTGATGACTCGGGGGTAGCGTGGGCATGAGAGGAGAAACCCCTGGAGTGGCATGTGGGATAGCAGCTGGATTAGGCTGTCTCTATAAATCCCGATAGAAGGGACTGGCCCAAACTGCAGGTGGCTTCTTGGTGGCTTTCCTTTTGCAATGTGTGAATTTAAAGCTGTTTCTTCAGATTTCAGACAACAGCACCAATCCTGGGCAACAGGAAAAATCCTCCTCAATATCCTGTTCTATTTATTTAAAGAGGTGCCCAAAATAATTAAATATTATCTTTTGTTCAAGAAAAATGAACTTCCAATACACATGGAATAGAAAAGAAATGGAGGAAGCCTATTTCTCCCGGCGATTCTGTGGAGACACTGATGAATCCATTGTGCACGTATTGATGTCTAATTAGCAAGTGGGAAGGCTTGAGGATGCTATTGTAAAACACAGTCTATTAGCATTACGGCATCATATTCATGTGGTGCAAATAATCATGTGTGAAGATTTTCTTGGTAAATTATTTTTTAGCGACCTTGTTTCATCAAAAGCATACATTTTTACTTGGATGTTATAGGAAACTAAGTCTGAGTCTAAGCTGATTTGCTATAATTGGAATAGGCTTATTTCAGTCATTTTACCCCTTTAAATTATGATAGCAGCATTCAAACATCTGTTAAACCAGAGCATCTGTTTCATATTTGGGATGCGTCCCTACAAATTAGAAGAGTGTTCTTTTTAATGAGCTCTGATTTAATAGGGAATCCTTTTTTTATGACTGTTATGCTGAAGAAAGAAAACGAGACAAATTCATCTCTCTAGCACCCCCCACAGCAAAGTACCTCAAAGGTCCATACGTTTCTAACACAAAACTGTTAAATAAAGATATATTAATATTGACACTTTGTTTTACAATTTAGTGTTGTTTAATATTTTAAAAACTTATGTATATCTTTATGTATATGTGTACAAACACACACACATTTACACATCACCAGGAAATGCAGAGAGGGCCATATATTCATGTTATTCAAGAAAAATAATCACTTCTTCCAAACAAATTGTCTTGACGATCCACATAGTCTTGACGGTGCTAGACAAGTTCATGACCTCATGGTTTCTCTAAGACTTGTTTACAACTCTAACTCCAAAGACACACTTGTAGCCACATCTTGACCATTTTGGTTCCATCTGAACTAGTACTTTGCCACTGACTCATCCAGTTATTTTGTTTTGCTTTTTTTTTTTTTAGGAAGATTAGCCCTGAGCTAACTACTGCCAGTCCTCCTCTTTTTGCTGAGGAAGCCTGGTCCTGAGCTAACATCCATGCCCATCTTCCTCTACTTTATATGTGGGACGTCTACCACAGCATGGTGTGCCAAGCAGTGCCGCCGTGTCTGTACCCGGGATCCGAAACGGCGAACCCCGGGCCGCTGAGAAGCAGAATGTGCGAACTTAACCGCTGTACCACCGGGCTGGCCCCTGACTCACCCAGTTCTTTTTCAAACTATTTCCTGTGGTCTTCATACGTTTTCTAGTCATTCATAGCCCTCTGTTTGGGTCTGAATTTGTCTTACACAGGAGGCATATCACTTGTCTGACAACAACAGGTCAGTTTGTTCCACTGTTTATACAGTTCTTTACTTTCTTGGGCCTTTGTATTTTTGTATTTCTAATTTGAATCTGGCTAGACTTTAAAAGTTTAATCTAAAGATATTGAAAACTCCTATATTTTTATGATATAAGCTACCATAAAATTTTGAAAATGATAGGTCATCCCTTTAAGTTCAAAAAACTACACAGGATTTATAAAAGAACCCTATCACTCCACAAAAAACTTAGAAGGAACTCATTGGAAGGAAGACAGAGAAGTGAGAAAACAGAAAAAGTTTAATATAAGAGATTGTGGTCGCCCATTTTGTACCTCCTAATTTGTCTCACCAAAGAGAAAACTATCACTACAGCGTCCTGGTGCTAAAGACATTTGTTTCACATGCTCCCTTAAGGCAGAGCGGTCGCAGCTTGGCAGAGAAAGCCATTGCTCCTGCCCAGGCTAGCAACAGCAGCTTCTAGCATCTTCCCCGCAACCCATCGCCCACCAAGGGAGGGCTCTGTCAAAACACATTGTCTACTTTGCCAAGGGAACAGTAGCATTTTACACCCACATCACATCAAATGTACAACGGATAGATGTCATAAAACCAGACTTTAGAACACGTCATTTGAGTTCTTCACTGAAAAAGACAAAAATTAAAACATCAACCACCTGGTTTGAAAGTAGTGCCTTCTGGGGATTTATAGATGTTATAAGAGAATCAGAGGAGAGGAAAATGACTGAGCTCATTAATCTGGGTTCAAGCTGGACTTATTTAACCAATCTGAGAGAGACAAAAACTGACCTTATTTTAAAATACTACCTGCGAAAACGATTTCGAAGGTTCCCCAGGTAACCTTTTTCAATGCTTAATGATTTTTAGAACCAAAATTCCTTTTTTCCTAAATTAAAGGTTAGCCCCCTTATTGTTGAAAATTAGATACAACAGACTTTCTGGTCCCAGGTGAGATGGCGCAGTCTGAGGAACACTGTTATGATTAACTTTTCTGCCATTTCCACTCTGCAGATCTCATCTCAATATATTCTTGGAAACTTGCCTCTGCCAGTTGAAAGAGCGCAGACTTTCCACAGCGTTTCACAGGTTCGGCACCACCCAACTGCGAAGTGTTTGATGAAATCTATATTGAAAACAATTCATACAAATAACATTAATTGTAATATCAGAATCTTTGCTTCCCATTCACACTCATTCAGGAACTTTCCTTAGTTTATGAGAACATCACTGCTCCCAAGAACCAAATAACTTTAAATGTGTCATGCTTGGGATTATAATTTTGAAACCAATTTTAGTTAACTAACCTCAAAAATAGTAACAAAAATCAGGTGTGGCTTGCTTGGGTGGCTTTTTAATGACGAGAGTATTATCTTGTATATTTCAGGCTTGAAACTGAACTCTATAACTTTAAAACAAGACATGCATTTCCATTTGTATATAAATACCAATTCATCAACTGGCCAAATATAAAAGAGACAGAATCATTTTGTATTTACCAAAGCAATTAGTTAATTTTTTTTAAGGAATATATTTGGGATTTCTGTGGAAAGACAGCATGAAGTCAGTCAACAAAAATTTCTTTAAGAATCTAATATAAACGTGGTAGGCAGTAGGACGGGAGCTCAGCAAGCTAAGAGTTTATATAAAACATTGGCCCTGGCTTTGTGAGTATGCTCTAAAGCACACGCAGATTGACCATCAAGACCAGAAGCCTAAATAAGTTGTACAGATAAGGACATGCACTGTAGTAAAACATCGATATATATGACATTTCATTGACTGCATGCTCATCTGCAAATCTGGCTAACCAGCAGCCAGGCGCTGATAACAAGGAAGAGCACTTTGCTTTCTCATTTTTACATGAAAACTTCATTTTCAATTTCTTGCCTAACTCAGTAAAGAGCTGAGAAGGACATACATTCTTAAGGATCTTTACAAGGCATCTTTCTCCTGGAGAAGTTCTGTCATCATTAGAGCAGCGAGCTATGGTCTAAGCTTTTTATATTCTTTGTGATCCTGAATTCTTTCTCAGTTTAAGACGGAGGCATTTCTCAGTTCGGTTTAGGAGGCAATCCTGCCTTGTGACTACGTCCTTACAGGGGACCCCAAGACCCCCAGGGACTCTGTGGAGCTGCCAGCTCCAGGAGAGACGGGGTGCCTGCTGCTACAGGGAATTCTCCAAGAACACCTGCTGGACAAGAGGCCCTTGGAGAGTCAGAAGGGTCTAGTTTAAGAAAGTCTTAAGGACCTTTTCTTCCTAGGTGTTATCATTTTTAATAAAGTCCTTTCCTATTCATCTCAATCACTTTTTCTTTAGATCAACTTATGGGGCTCAATCTTTCTGAAGTTTGGAATGTCTTCCTCTAGGCGAATTTTCTCTGATATATGCCACTTCTACTTTTTCTAGACAAGTTGAATTCAATGACTCACCTTATCACTGGACTAAGAGAAACAAATACAGTAATACAATCCCCGACTCTCAGCGACTTGGGGGTACTGAACACCAGTGCCAGTCCCTGAACCAAGGTTGTGTAATAAGGACATGGCTTCTGTGTCAGACACACCTGCATTACTTTTTGCTGTGAGGACGTAAGCAAATAAGACGCTGAGCCTCAGTTACCTTATCTTCAAGATGAAAACAATAATGCCTGCCTTAGATTTTCTGTTAGTGAAGAGTGTGACACCATGCTGAGCCCATATTATGCTCTCAATAAATGGTGCAATTATTAGTAATAAGGATTTATCATTATTAACACTAATAAACAAACTCAGTACAATTCCAAATACTAGCTACACACTGAAATTGGAACGAAATTAAAAATTGCAATGTCAGAGGATAATTAGTAAATTTAGTAATTTGTAGAGTACTGAATTTGTTGCATAATCATACAACACCCTCAAGAACCAGTGAAGGACAAGCAGCTGTGTAACGCTGCAGACACTGTTTCTAGTTCTTCCACTGGCTCCCTCTGCTGTCACTTTCGTCCCTGTAGGTTTATCCTCCCTGATGTTTTGTGTGTGTTCACTACCAATTCCCTGGGCCCCGTGCAGCGCATGGCACACCGAGAGGCTCCCGGGGGAACTGCACAGACACACTACCTGCCATCTGAGCTCACGGACAGCTGTCTGACTCAAGGCTTGAGATTAACGGTTCCTTGCCTTTCAAAAGGAACCACCTACGTTTAGTAAGAACAGTTTTCCTCACTGCCTACAGAGGATTTTAGCCTATCTGCAGGTATAGGGCAGTATTTTAAATGCTCAAGTTTGCTGTAAGCCTGATTTCCAAAAAGGCTTTGACCGGGGGTGGGGGTGGGGGTGTGGGGCGGGGGGCGGTCAATATATTTTAGTAGCCCAATATTTCTAGAATCATCTAAGAATAAAATTTTCATTTAATGACTTAGAGGTAAGATACGCTTTCTAAGAATGTCTTTTGGCTTAATTTTTTTGGCAGGGGGCATAATTTTTTTTGGAAAACTGGACATACATTGATGTCTGTGGCTGAGCCTTATCTTGATTCCTCCACAGCATTCAATGTGGCTGAGCATTCTTTTAGGAACCTCTTCTCTGGGCTTCCATTACCACATGGGTCCTGTTTTCCTCCCACCTCTCAAGTCACTCCTGTTGTTCTTTGCTAGCTGGTCTTCCTATGGTGATCCCTTAAATGTTTTTCCTCAGATTTCTGTCTTAGGGCCCACTCTCTCTTTATTTACACATTTTCTCTCAGTAATCTCATCTCCTCTGAGGGCTTTGATTATAAGCATAGCTTGTACCACACCAATCTGTTCCACCAGTGTTCATTCACCCCACTTTTTCTCTGTTTGAGAGACATATACATAGCCTTTCAATTAAGAACAATATAGCTAATTCATGTTTTATAATGACTGGTCAGCTAGTGGGGAGAAGCGTGTGTCATGTTACACTCCCAGGTGGGGGCACGAGTGGGCCATACTGCATCGTGCGTTCGTGGCTATGCTGTTGTTTATCTTCCTCCAGTTGGATGGTGCTTGCCAATCTGTTAACTCCACCGTGGTCTCTCCTTTGGTAATTGTGTAGAGTTCTGACAAACAGGGTGGGTGTGAGCGTAACTGAGGTACAGCAAAGGTGTTAAGAGAAATTATCACTCGGGATGTTAAACTGCTAATTTTATAGCTGCCTGAGGTGGGGGAGAGCACTAAGGAAACAAGTGGTAAAGATCAAAAGCAGATTAAGCAATGGTGGAAGTCTTTTGCAATTATGAGGGGTATCATCAACATCGCAGCCTGGGAGGAAATGACCCATAATTACTGAAGGAATTAATGAATCAAAGAGCAAATGAACAATAGGAGACGACTGGTCTTTCTTATCTTAAAAGAAATATTAATGCTTCTCATAAAACACATAATACTTTCACACTGATTAGCTGCGGTGTGAGTATATGGTGTTTTTGTCGAGTGCAATACTCTGCAACATACTGAGCATTCCATCACGAAAATGAACACTTTAAATTTGCACCTATTGCTCGCATCCACCTGTGACAATACCTTAAATTTGATGAGATTATGGCCGTATTTATATTGACAAAGTAAATACCTTCTAAGGAAAGTTTTAATGTCCAAAGCTATTTGTTTAAATCATCCAGATTGGCTCTCTGTCTTCAAAGTCAATAAGTAATTTTTCAATGCAAAGATAGACTCTAGGTCTAAGAGTCGGCCACACAGCAGAGAAGAGAATAAGTGGACTGGTCACGGAGCTCAGACTTGTTAAATAAAGGGAGACAACGGTGCCCTTCCGGCATTACATTTGGCCATTAGTCTCCAGTAAATGAGACTGAAAAGTGACGGATGGGTCCCTCGATCAGTAAACAACAGGTGATGCAGACAGGAAACTCACACAGATCAACTCAACGGATCAGAGCCTGGAAACAGTGACGGCCCTTCAGAGGGGCCATGCTGAATCTAGGTGAATCCTGAGCGTCAGTGAGGAAGCGGAGACAGCTTGAAATGGGGGGAGGGGGGGAGAGGCTTTGAACCCTGTATTTCTTTCCAGATCTCGTAGAGCAGATATATTTTTCTCCGTCTAAATGTAAACATTCATGAGGAACCTACAAACAATATGTTCTTTATTCAGTTTCATGGTTCCATATAGGTTAACTTCAAGGGGTTTTTAAACTATTAGATTTGGTTAGGAAGGAAAAATATCCTTCTCAGCTTGCAAGGCAGAGACCCAGGACTTGATGTGAAAGAAAAAAACATTTTAAACTTAAAGAAATGCCCAGGGTTTGCTGTTTGTTAAAAAGTGTGTTTCTAGGCTAATTATATTACATGATAAATGACCCATTGCCAAGAGAAGGTCTAGCTAATCTCTTTGTAGATTTATGAATGTTTGTCAGTGAAATTAGCAGGAATGGTCTCTAGGAATCTCCCATGCCTGATCTTAAAATATTACAAAGCTAAACATTTTTAAAGAGTAAATTGTTTCCTAAATTATATAAACATACACTTTTCTCTTAAGTGTACATAATATAGGACTGAGAATCCCTCTGAAAAGGGATGGGGGTATTAAGTGGCCCCCTGGGTAATTTTCTATTTTATATCTATCCCTTCCTTACTTCACCCCTACCCTATGAGGTCCCAGAGAGACTAGGAGGCGCCTTAACAACGACAGTTTAATAACTCAGGGTTAAAATGATCAACTATAGAGCAGCAGTCTCAAACTGTGGTTTCTTAATAGGAAACTTGCTGGAAATGCAAATTCAGGCCCCACTCCAGATTTAATAAATCAGAAACTCTGGGGTGGAGCCCAGCCATCTGTGTTTGAACGAGCCTTTGAGGTGACGGATGTATTTGCCAGTTTGAGAACCTCTGCTATAGACTAATTAGAATGAGAATTTCAAGAGTTTGTGTTTTTTCAAAGGTGATGGGTGTGTTATGAAATAATTATAAGAGCTTTAGGGCTACGATCATAGTTAGTAATTAGAGCCTATTCTATTTCTGCTACAATGTATATGCTCATAGCAGATTTTAGCAGATAATTTTATTAGTTCATCTAGTTAGCTCTTGTTTAGTTTTCAATAAACCAGCCCAGAATGGGCTGACAACATGGTCAGATCATGAGATGTTAAAGACTGACACTTAGGGTTCTCTTGGGTCAGCTGAGGAAAGTGAGTAGAGAGGTTATACATCCTCAGAGAAACATGTATTTCTCTTTTATAATCACATAGAACATTTGCAGTTCAATAATCATGTTATGTAATAATTTGCTTAGGAATGAAAAGTGTTCATATTATCAAACTGTGCAAAATATAACTAGGAAAAATAATATAGTGAGTTGCGAGGGGGAAGTGCATTTGATTCTAGGGCAAAACATCTTATTCTGGTTTCTCCATCATGCATGCCTCCCTGTGTTATGATGCTGTGAAACAACTCCCAATAAGTTTTCAAAATAACAATTTTTTTTAAGCTTCCTCAAATCTTGTATATGTCCCATGGTCAAAACCCAAAAGCCCTCAGAAGTGAGGCGTGACATCTGGAAATGTGTCCTTGTACAACTCCCAAGAGAAGGTTCTCTTCTCTACACAAAAACCTTCTCGTGCTTTGAGGAACCAGCATACGGAGCAGCAAGGACAAACTTAATTTGTTTCACAGAGGCATGGAACCTCATTCTCCAGAATCACAGGACAGCAGCTGTTACACCACCAAACTGGGCACTCAGAGCTGCCCAGGGCTTCAGCAGCTCCTAATAAATCTGAAGATGGGATCACTTAAATAACAATCACGCTCTGAGTGGCCTAACTGTTAGACACAGCCAGCCGAGATATTCCACACTGACACTGTAAGTGAGGTTGAAGATCTTGGCGGTCAATGCATCCGTAAATATCAGGTGTGTCAAAGATGAGCCAGCACCTTCCTAATATTCATGGTACAGACTGTAGAATTTAATCGAACAGAATATACAGTGAATACACAGTTTGGAAGGAAATTTTCTAAAAAGTTGCATGGAACTGGCTCAAGGATCAACATTAAAAATAAATCTAGCCACTGTGCCAAAATTCTTTTTTCACTCTTGAAAAAATTATTCATATCAAATAAATGGATGTCAACAACTGGAGGAAAGCAAGGAAGTATTAAACAAAACTATTTCCCCAGACAGTGAAAATAACAGCCTGTTTATCACAATGAAAAATTATAATAAAATCTTAATTTATTCAGATTCATCAAGCAAATTGTTCTTCATGAAATGATAATATTATACGGTATTTTCGTTACCAGTTTTATAGAATAGCCCTAGACAGTGAAAGCAAATACTGCAGCAGAGAAAGCAAACAGATGAGCAGGTGGTGTGGAGACGGAGCTTGACACAAGTGTCCTAAGAAGCAGCAGCATTTTTTTTTTTAATATAAGAGCTGAAAGTGATTTTTTCTCATTTTCAAAGTAAGATGCTGGGTTTTCTCCTGCCAAAAGGATATCATTTTACATTTCATTTATGCAGCACTCTTTATTCAAATGAATCAAAGTGCTTCAATATATCAATATTAAACAGAACAGTCCTGCTCGCCATTTTCTCTCAGCCTTATAAAAAACTGCTTCGTTTATGATATGCATTTTTTAGTTGGGATTCATAAAAAGGAATAAGGGGAAAGACCTACAGCAGACGTCATCATATTTTTACGAACTGTGCACACCTTCCTGTTTGTCAGACAGTGCTCATTAGAGACGAGCATAGGGTTGAGGCTAGAGGTTTGCGGCAAATTTGGCCTCCTCATCACACTAACCCAGAAAACGCTCTCGAGTCTGTGATCTCTGACTGGCTGAGAAACCAAAGAAACCTGAGATCTTGAGAGAGCCAACCTGATCTAGGCCTGAGATTAAACACTAATAAAAATACCGGCTGGAGCGACACTGCATCAAAGGTAAGCACCGATCATTAACAGCTCGCGGTCCCAACTGCATTCGCTGTGAGGGTTATTCATGAACTGTGGCAGCTAACTTCACTACTGGAAAAACTTAATAAATCGAAATCCTATGTCCTTCCTGTTGACAGCAGTTTTTGCAAGCTTTTAGAACAAATTAACCACAAGGTAAAATGAAATAAACGAATTAGTGGAAAGTGACTCTTCTGAAGGAACTCTTTAATGAATGCTCATACAATGGATATAAAATTTGGAGCTGATCTACGATTACAGCAAAGGCAGCAAAACACACTAAGTGTTCTGTGATATGTATTATGTTGGTAATGTCAAGAGGTATGCCCAAGTTCAAAAACTCCATTCCAATACCTCCTGAGCTCGCTAAGTTTTCTGAGCCCAATAAGCATTTAAAAAGAAGGCCATACCTCTGCAAATTGAAACAAGGCTGATGCTTGACACTGTTTCGAAGGAGCATCAGGGTGGGATGTACTTGAAGATATCTGCAAGGAAACAAGTAATTTTTAATGCATAAGGACATTTTCCCATATTGGATTAATAGATTCTGCCATATATTCCCAATGCAGACACTGATAAAGATTAAGACATGAGTCATCACCCTCAATCTCTTTTCGAAGAACAGTATAAACGATAAAGGAAGACAAAGGCCATGTTTCTAAAAACAGATGACTGGAAAGAACAAAAAGACCGAGTCTGGCTCATTTGCCATGTCTTGTGTGACATTATCAGGTATACGTCACAAGCACTAGTTGAGAAGACCTGTTGAGATGAATTTCCTTATTTCAATGGATCTTTTAAAATATTATTAAGAGCTGGAAGCTGCAAGTGGAGCCAGACACTCTCTCTCTTCCCTAACCCACGGCCCCCGAGCTGGTCTCTGCTTAGCAGCAGCTGTGAAAAGCCTATGGCTGTGGGTCAGGGCATCTGGGATGGAATCGCAGCTCTGCTCTCGCTAGCTACATGATCTTGGACAGCTCAACCAATCTTTCTGGGACTTATTTTCCCAAGTGTAAATTGGTGATGATGATGATGATGATAATCCCCATTTCACAGGATTATAGTGAGAAGAAGATAAGCCACAGAATATACTGTCTGCACGGCACCAGAACTCCATGAAGTTTTCAATGAATATGAGCAACATCTCTTTCTTTTTTAACACCATACATCTTCCTCCCCAAATACACACACACACTCTCTTCAGGTGTCTGGCAGTAGATAGAAGATCCTGCCACACCATACCTGGTTGGACCAGGAGACCTTTTGCTTCCACTTGGTAATTACAGTAGCCTCATTAAAAGTCTGCTCTGAGGGCCAGGTGGAAATACTTTTCAAGGATGTTTTGAGAACAAGATCAGTTATCAATTTTGGTTCCAAAGTGAACAAAACTTCTATCCAGTTACAAAATAGAGTGAAAGCTAGTCACAAGAGCAAAAACCCCTGGGCATTATTAATTCTGCCCATTCCCAGCCCCAGAAAGTCTTTTTTTTCAATTAATTGTGCCCACCAACTCCATCACAGGGTACCTACTAAGCAATAAAGGCACCTCAATCATAACTCTTCCATCACAGAAATCAGTTTTTCATCTTAAGTTAGTTAGAAAAACAATGGAGGCAGCTGGTGATACAGTATCAAAGTGATTTTTAAGGATGAGAAAGAATTAGTAAAGAGACTGATAGAATTATTGACTTTATTCACTGCTAAAGCCATTAGGAAAATTTTAATTCCACTCTATCTTTTGAATTGGACCTATAAGCATTTTTAAAATAAATGTCAGTAAAAAGAAAAAAGATCTCCCAGAACCTATTGAATAAACTAGATATAAACAAACTATAGTGAATGGGTAAGATTTAACCAAGTGCTTTTGAAGACATTTGAGGGGAAAGTTGTAGAATTCTCCTTGGTCAAACCATAAAACTTATTTCAAAAGACCACCATTTGCAAGTTGTGGCAGACAGCAAATATGAATCCACAAGGATTTTCCTGAAGTCCTAGGAATTATAAACTGGGTGGGTCTTACTTCAGACATCACTTTTCATTCCTAGCAACCCTCTATAAAAGTTAAATAAAATAAACAGTTTATGTAAGGGGAAACACCTAACCTACCATATATTTCTTCAAGAATTAAATCAGACAGTGAACAAAACAGAACCAGTGGCATAAACCACCTAGATTTTTGAAAAGCATTTCACAAGCTTCTAAAGGAAAGGATGTTTTTATGAATGAATATTGAGATAAAGGAGGTATCCAGTTAATGACATGAATAGAGAACGTCTGAAGAAAGATTAGGGACCCTTGATATAAAAGCAATAGGGTCAGGGATCTCTTTGGAATCTTCAGTATGCTGTAGAAGCCACCAAAATGCACATATGTCAATACAACCAAAATTTCATATGAAATTTTAGAAATTTCATTAGATCTTTAAGGTTCAGGGATCACTGGCTAAGCATTTCTGCTTTCAAAGTTGGGACCAACATTACTTAACATGTCCATAACTACCGTAGAAAAGGGAGGTGCAGAGGGAATCCTCTGTTCCATTAAATTCTTGAGGAAATGATATACAAACAATTGGAATTCATGGCACATCTCACACAGGCAGAAAGAAAAGTGACCGATAAGGAGTAGCATGTCAGCAAGTATATGTTGTAACATTCTGGTGATATCAGCAAGGCCTTTAGGCACATTATAAACAATGCCTTAAAAAGAATGGCCTAATACGCCAGTGTGAAAAGCAGTTTTGCCAATGAAATACTAAGAACCACCAGGAAAGAACACCAGAGAGGAAAAAAAATCTGAAACTAAAAATATGCTCTTCTTGTACAAAACTGTAACCCAGTGGCCAAATGCTCCGAAGGATGGCAGGGTGAGAAAAGGTCTAGTGAAAGACAATTCAAATGATCAAGGGGGGGACCACGTGGTTTAAAATTTAGAAAAAATTAATCAATGATGGCTCCATATTGAGTTCTAGGGTAAATGAAGATATTTCGGGAAGCAGTCTCAACCTTTAGACTTGATATCAAGGATAATGTGCTTTTCCATGTCATCTCTTTGAATCAATGCTAGAGATGTATCAAGCTCAACAGGTTTGACACAAGACGTAAGACTCTGAAAACTGCCCACTGCATACTAAAGTTTCAGTTAAGAGAAAAGGGTACTTAAAAAAAAAAAAGGAATGCATAGCCAATAACCATGAGTTGATTCTGTCTTCTGATTTAACACCTGTTAAATTAACGCCTGACAAACGACTCAGTTGTAACAATAACTCAATTATACTCTTAACTTTACTATCCATGAATAAAAATTAGTGATGAGCTTTAAGTGTAATAATATTTACTATTTACTATGTAATAATTACTATTTACTATGACTTAATAATAAGCTTCTATGAACATACATATAGTTATTCCTTCATTAAGAGACTCTGGTGTTCCAAACCATCTTTCCCAAAATTTGATTCCATTTTCCCATTTATCGCTACTTAAGCTAAGTAGAGTTCTTCGTCGCTTTAAGTTTCAGCGATCAGCCCAAATTCAGGCTAACTTGATAATTTCCTCACTGCACATAAGCTGTAATGTATTACCTCAGCAAACTGAAACAATGGGGACTTCTGACGCAATTCAGGGGATTCTGAAACATCAGGCCTGCAAGTGCCAGAAGACACCTGAAAGAAAGAAGATACATGAGGCATCACAGAGTGGGTTCTGGAAGACAACAGAAGATAAATATACCGAAAACGTTCCTATTTGAGGAAAAAATGGTTCCGATTCCCACAGTTTGAGACAATACTGTGAGAAAAAAGTAGTTGTATTCTATAGTTTTATATGAGAAGCCACTCAACTGCAAATAATGCCATAAATAGTAGGATAATGCATTTTAGAAAAGTTAATATTCACCTAAGTGATGCCCGTTTGATCTGCTGGCTTTCTGTCACCAAACCAAAAGAACAGCTACTTCTTCCACGTTCTGTGTTTCCCCAGGATGTCATGTCCCCAGACTACATGAACACACACAAGATCTGATAATATAAATCTTTCGGGAAAACAAAACTAAAATCAAATGCTTGTTTTCCAGGATTTTCACGTGTTTATACACAAGCCTCAATCTTAGAAAGGTTAGCATTTATCTAAGAGAACTTTTTTATAACTTCTATTTTCCTTTGCACCATTTACCATGTTGGGTAAACATTTAAAGCTCTGCTATCTTCATTTGCCATCTTCATTATTAACACAAGTTACAGAAACACCACTGGTTTTTAAAAAATTCTCACTACTAGTCAAGTCTTCTTTTCAGGATACACATTTCCTCTTCTATCTCATCACTAAAATTGGCCCATTTCTGCATTTGGGTAACATAATCACATAGGTAACCAACCGTAATTCAATGTCACAGGAGTCCCAATGTTAGCAAGGGAAGGATTTCATTATTGCTGTCATCTAACCCTTTTTACAGATGAAGGAAATTAGGAACAACACTCAATAATCTTATTCTTTATCTTCATGGCACTTGGCACTGATCACCATAAGACAAAAATATCTGTTTATTGGGCATCTTCTCTCAGTGGCTTTGTTTAATGCAGAATCCTAACACTGCCTGGGCACGACGTAGATACTCAACAAATATGCTAAATAAACTAAATGAAAGTTGACAACAAGTATTCTAAATCCCAAATGAGTGTGTGTTCTCCCCATCAATCCCATCTTCCTGAATGACAAGGTTAGGGAGTCTTAGGGAAAAAGCTATCTTTCACTACAGAAGAAAAACAGTTAAGAAGTTAAAAATACTTTTTAAGAACATGTTTCTGAGAACAAAATAATCCAAGTTCATCACCGAAAATCTGAAAAAAACAAAAAACAAGATACTGAAGAAAAGTCACCCACAGTGTTATCTTCTAAAGATAAACTGTGACTATTCCATGCACATTCTTCCAGTTGTATACGTAGATAATTTTTCCAACAAAAGTTGGACTTTGTACTATAGATATAGAATGTTCTTTTTTAACAACACATTAACTTCCCTGTGTTATTAAACCTTTTCCAACGTAATTTTAATAGCTGCATGTGATTAGATTCAATGGTTGAATCCTACGGAAAGTGCTGAGAATCACCCAGGCTGCATTCCTAAAAACAGATTTTCTCACCAAACTTCTTTATTAGACAGCGAAGACATGTTTCTCTAACAGTGTCACAGGCCATCGGGCAGAAGCAGGCATCTGAAATTTTAATTGTCACCTTTGGATCTGAAAGAGTAATGGCCCCTTCTTCCACTGATAAGCTCCACAGAGAAGGTGCGGCAGCCTTAATTAATTTGCTACCTGTGGTTTGGCTGCCAAAGCCTGACTCTGTTACTGTCATTGACTATTTGACAAGTTGTATGCCAAATGGCTCAAAAGTGTTTTTATTTGTTTCCCAAGAATGGGAAGCCAAGGAGACACAAAATGCACTAAAAAGAAGGCCAATGAATCCTGAAATTACTAGCCACAAAAAAAATTCCTTTTTTGGAAGGAATACTTGAACAAAATATATCTTTATATTATAATTTAGGGAAAAAATCAATATTATCCTGGTTTATCAAGAAATCCTGGGGCTGGCCCGGTGGTATAGCAGTTAAGTGCACGCACTCCACTTCAGTGGCCCAGGGTTCACAGGTTCAGATCCTGGGCATGGACCTACGCATTGCTTATCAAGGCATGCTGTGGTGATGTCCCACATATAATAGAGGAAGATGGGCACAGACGTTAGCTCAGGGCCAGTCTTCCTCAGCAAAAAGAAGAGGATTGGCAGTAGATGTTAGCTCAGGGCTAATCTTCCAAAAAAAAAAAAAAAAAAAAGAAATCCTGTGTGGTTAGCCCCTAGATATCTTGGTAAATAATCAAAACCCGATTTAAAATCAAGCCTAGGACTAAATGAAAATTATAAAGTGTCTTTATAAATCTTTAATAATGTAGGTTGTACACGTGACAGAAATCTATGAAAAGATATTTGGAATTAAACATATCATTTAGGGTAATACACTGCATATAGCCTATATAATATATATTCTTATTTCACTTCCCACAATGCATGAGAATAGTTACCATTTACCCTAGGGCTTAATTAGAGTTCATATTAACTGTAAGAAAAAAAGTCCATTTTCTTGTAAGTCCCATTTATAGATTACTTAACCGTAACTACAAATCAAGTCACAAAGTTTTAAAGTTAAATGAGACCCTTTGCAAATCACTGGGATGGATGGTCTTAAACAAAACTTTCTATTTGAATGGAGAATTCAAATGTAAGTGATTATCAAGGCATCTGTAATCCTGCACATGATAAGTCAATTGCACTACGCAATCAAAGCAGTCTGTGCACGCATGTTCATGATCACCACGCACCTGACGTACAGCAGATGCACAAGGCATACCCATTGACTGACTTGATTCTGTGTGTGTGTGAATATCAAGAATCTCAATGACCTGGCCAGGAATTGCACAACAAAGGCTGTTCAATGGTTAAAAGAGCAGTAACAGAGGCAGTGAGGCTGTGCATTTTACTGGATGACACCCTCTCTCCAAACCTAGTTACTCTTACTTTAAAGCACTGTGGACTTAGCATAATCTTCAGTGCATTACAATGGAAACAGCAAAAATCAGGAGCCAGGAGAACTGGGTTACTACTAAGCTGCATGGTTATCTGACTCGAGTCCACAGCAGAACAGAAGCAGCCAGTCAGGAGGGCCAAGAGAGGGGTGAGAAAAAGGAAGAGCGTTGCAAAAGAAACAGTGCCAGCTGCAAGAAGACACCGGGAGAAGACAGAAGAACTGTAAGAACAGACAGAAATGTGTTCCACAGCACTCTAGTCGGTCTAAAAGGAACGAAGGTAGGGCAAATAGCCCAGAGTTCCTCCGGAGGCACCCGTTCACTCAGTAATTAATATTTATAACTATGATTCCAAGTTGTCAAGATAAGGATAATTATAAAATATATCCTTTGTTAAAAGGCAGAAATGCATGATACATGCTACACATATTCCCATCTAAAATTTCAAAATGTAAAAATGGTTCAATGACACGGAAAATGTGTACATGCAGAATTCACTTTTGACTGCTTGATAAATATGGCACCCAATGCAGGTGTGTGTATTTGTGCAAACACCAATATGCATACACGTTTGGTAAAGAAATCTCAGATTCTCTCCACACAAAAGGAGGAGGGTATTTCCCACAAAAGGCTCCTGTTGAAGTAATGTTATCAGTCAGACGGTCCCAGACCCTGTCGTCTTGCTGTCTGTATTTATAGCACTTGAAATTCCTTACTAGGTGGGGTGTGTTTTTTACGATAAACATCTCCTCCTCAATATCCATTCCTATGCTAGATCCAGCTTACTTTCTAAATACAGCAGAATATAAAAGAGTCAAAGATATCTGTTCACTAATTAAGAGTTAAGAAAAGACACTAAATAAGCAGAGGTTAAATAAAGGGAGGAAAAAACCCAAGAAGCTGCTTCTAGAAATACTCACTGAAATAATCCCTAACGCCACTAGGTGTAGCTGTCTGCCCAAGAAAGCAAACAGCTCAAGGGGTGTTACAAAGTTTTGTTAACCACATAGTCAACTTCCCTTAAACCCAATCTTCTCTGATTTAGCTGTAATTCTCAATAGCCGAGGAAGGGCAATGATTATTATAATTAACAATTATGACGAAGCAGCATTTTTTCACAGGTGCAATTCAGACTGTGAAAACTGCAGACAGAAACTCGATCCAGGCCCCTGATATAAAACAGACCAAGCCAGTAAGACGCGGTTTGGAAACCCAGATTTCATCAAGAGCCCGTTACTGCTTCTCAAGGCACAAGACCACAGCCAGCACAGCTGAACTGCGATGAACACAGTCCACCAAAGGGGTAAGAACACCGGCTGTAGGTGAACTACACACTCCAGCCCTCGCTGATTCAAACACTCACTGATTACTCACTTCTTCCACAGTCAATCAACATCTATCGCGTGTCAGCCACAAAAACTGCTGCTTTCAAGAAGCTTACATTCATTCCACTTGCATGCATTTTGTGCTGGGGAATGAAATGATGACTAGGAGAATGTGTCTGGCCCTTAAGTTGCTTACAATTCAAGTGTAGGGGACAGGTACACATGTAAGAACTAAGTGCATCCTGGTGGTGGAATATTATGGGGTCCATGGGAGGACAGAGCAGCCTTTGTTCTTTCGGATGCCTGGAAGCCAAGCAACACCTGAGATATACCTACAAGCAGCACCAGAACTGGAAATGATGGGGTAACAGCAGGAGGGAAAGGACGGAGGCAAGTGCCCCGTGTGTGTGAGAAACAGTGACTTTCCCAGTGTGGCTGAAGATTAAGACGCCTGGGAGCGCTGTGGGAAACGAATTGGAATGAGGGAAATTTGAATTCTATGTTAGGAAATTCGAAAATTAGGCTAAAGGCAATGAGGAGCCAGCCGGAGTCTGCAGTCAGGGGAGTGGTGTGATAAGAGATGTGTAGTCGGAGAATTCTGCCAGGGAGCGCAGGACGACCTTGGCTGGGGAGCAGCTGGAGGCAGGAGACCAATTAGAAGGTTAAGGAGATAGACCAGCTGAGATGTGAGGCCCCAATTAAGCCAGAGCTGGTATTTGCCAGGCCTGCAGGAGACAAGGCTGGCTGAGGGAGAGGGGTCAG